TAAGATAATGTATTGATTAGAAGGTAAAAAAGTCAAACGATACCACACACTATCATTGACGAAATCGTCACGATTAGTTTATAAGGCTATATTTGAAGACACTGGAAACTGATGGAGTTTTTGAATAGCTGGGTCTTGAATCTTACTTCGTATTTGCACAAGAAGCACAAATCTAACAATACGTGTAACAGAACAAAACCACTTAATCTCACTAGGAAAAACGACGCATACCCTGTGTGATAGTACCGGATATGACGTTTAGCACCGGAAACACTACATTTACCCATACTGTGCTGAAGGCACTGCAACTACAGGTGTCGGAAATGCTACATATGTCCCTCACTATACCGTAAACACTACATAAGATGTCATCTCGGTGTGTCAAAACAACATCTCATTTCACTCAACTGTAAATACATCTCACATCGCTTTACCGGAAACACTACAACTCAAATCACCTTACCGGAAACGCTATTTACACCTTTCCTTACTTAACATGAACCACAACACCTGTTTGCGACAAACGACTTTTATCCACAGTTACCGTTTGAAAGCCGACCGATGAGCAAGTCTCTGAATTACTTCCCTTGTTTTTTAAAGGTTAGGATTTCTGAAACGAAATCGATAAAATCTCGACTACACTCTTTACTGTACTGGAAATGTTACATTTCACATTCATTGTACCAGAAGCGTTAATATCACATTTATTGTACCGGAAACGTTACATATCATTATCGTATCAGAAACATTACGATTCTCTTTACTAGTCCTGTCAGGGAGAATTCATTCTGTCAACACACGGTAGGTAAGACGACGAAACAGGCAATACGACTAGCACTGTCTAAATAGAACCTTTCTTCCGTCAGTTGGCGTTATTGATCCCGGGTTCGATCCTTAGCGGAGGCATTACATGTCTTCCGTCGCTAAATCATACCGGAAGTACCCTTACTCGTCAATCCAATCGTCCATTAGACAAGGTAAAAACCTACCCTGAATAAACTTACTTTTTAATGTCATTTCCAAAAGGAATGTTTGTCGCTTTCCCGGAAAATTAAAACGCGTTAACTCATTAATGATTTTTTAGAGTCGGATAGACTTGTGTGTGATTTCCAAGGAAATTTACATCCTGAACATGATTCCGAAATCTTGAAAGACAACGGCCTCGTGAACAACATAACACGACAAATGTAAAATCATATACGTAATGGAACTCGATATCGCGAGGTGGTGAATCAAAGGTGAGTTATTTCAGGAAAATCCACTTCTTCAAACTTGAATGATTAAAGAAATTTACCGTAAATAATAAGATGTTTTCCTTTTGAAAATTTCAGTTTTTTTTATATAACTGAACGCTTGCACAAATCGGATTCGCATTTAGATAATCATTACATATATACTACAATACCAGACTAACTGATCTACGAACGCAGTTTGATTTTTCATTTTCTATGATACGTGAATATTGTCAATCAAGACTGCACGATATTTCAATTATGTAATGCACGTGCATCTCCTTTGAGTATTGAAATGATCTATATTTAATCATTGACTTATTTATAGATATCTAATTCCGTGGCTGATTTTCATTAATTGTGTGAGAAATATAAATTGGTAACTCTGTGAATTTTAATAGTTACCTCCCTTAATTCAAATAGAAAAAAATCACCTTAACTAAAGTCAGTAGATTTTCAAAATTTTAATTAAATTTAAAGTAAAATTATTATTAATTAAATAATTCAAACAATCAAAACAAGTTTTTCGTGTGGTTATAACTTTTTTTTCTTTTGTATAGAAGGGTTTTGTTAAGCTGTTACTGGTGCCATACAACCTTAACCATACAAATAAATTCCTTTCATTGTGATTTCAGGCACGGCCAGGGATTTTCGCTGATGGTATAGATATTTTACGACACTAACAAAAATGAGCTGTCACTGCCGTGTTTACTCAGTCGATTACAACCGAAAACTCCTGGTTAAATATTGTGTTCACTCTTGCTAATTCAATTCAACTTATTTTTTTCCAAAGCACACATAGCTTTTATAATTACTATAGTGAAAAGATAATTGAAAATAATTTATTTACAAATATGTTTTGACTTCGTAAAACAGTCATGTTATGATTTTATCACACTTACAACGGTATTCACTCCTAAATGTAAATAGTTTTGATTGACAACCGCTTTGTCGAATGATGACAAATTGTATTGTTGGTCTTTTATTCGCGACAAGTGACTACCAGTTGTGCTGAAAGCTCCCCGCCTCTCTAGCAATTTCAATCGATTTCGTTAATGTCGGTGTCGTCATTTAAACGAACTGGACAAGAGCTTCTGCTGGTATTGAATATGACAGCTCCCGTCATGATGTCAGAATATAAAGTGTGATTTGTCATCCAGTTATAATCTCGCTGACAGATACAAATGTGGGTCGTTTTGTCATCCACGATGTAGAATAGATCCGAGTTCTTGGAAGATATTACAGGTACACAATGTTTGTGTAGGATGTACGAATTGCATACAGTCGGTGTCCATGATGGTGTCCTATCTCGGGAGACCAGAAAGAAGTACAACTACCGTAGCTTTTCCTTGCTGACCCCACAACTCCCGAATATCTCAACATCAGGGATTTTCAACAATCATCGATATTAGCGTAGGCGAATTGTAAACAATCACGTGTAGCGTAAAACCATACAGTTTAGGATATGTCAGCTCTAAATTATAGATGTCAGGGAAATCGCCATCAATTGTTCGTAAGCAGTATAAAATGATATTTTATGAGGGTCGCGATAATATCATCAAATACTTGACTTCACTTGACTGTGTTTTGTTACTGAGTACCATACTACCAGACTCTAGACATAATATATGTACTACCCCAGACATTAATAATCCTAACGTTTATTGGCTCTTTAAATTGTTAATGAATTTTCAATAATTTCTATGTTTCAATTGTTGTAGATTACAATCGTCTGTTTCTTTATTTTCGTTCGTCTGCACAATTTTGAAGCAATGTACTGATTTTTCAGTAAACCCTAACCGTCATCTTTACAAAACGCCGCGTGGGGCGACTAATGTTTCCCACATTAGTCGCCTCCGATATCGCGTCTATACATCTTCAAGAAACATCTTCGAAAGAACATATTTATACACATCTGAACCATGAGTTTGGTTTGCTATACTGCGAACATTAATACCTTTACTTTATAGAATATTTGGAAGGGTTTGTATCGTTTGCAATTAAAATGATGTTAAAGATTGGTTTCTTTTCATTAAGAATTAGAAAGTTCGGCCAAATTCATCACAGCAACTATAATTTGTTTAGGAACCTGACTGGTACGTCTCTCTGGTTGTATTTAGTAATTTGTGACATATGTACATGAGAATATTGTAAATACTTATCCCGTGTTTTTGTTTTAAGTCGAGAAATCGACAGACTCGAAGTTAATAAAGAACTTGAACCAATCACACTCTACTGTATATTTTTTCTCTACTTTTACAGTTTTGCCACTATATCTTGTTTTCTTTCTTACCAGCCGCCTGCTTAACTAGATTTTGTCCACGAACGAAAAAAACTTTCCGCCAATTCAAGCTTCAATATGTACGGATTTAGCAATGGTCTTGCACCTGTCAACTAAATTCAATATTCTATCGCGGCTGGAAATCAATTTTATCACAAAATCAATGCTATCGTTTTCGGCGGACAAGCATGTCTCGTCAGATTCAGACTTAACCATGACAAGAATACAATTACATGACAAGCCTCGTGTTTTTAAAGTGTAAATGCTATGTATAATTAAACCGGTGTCAATCAAACAGCGGGACGGTCCCTGATGTGTTTTATCTGTGTGTGCAGAGAGTGGAGTATCTGTCATTCTAGTCTTACTATAGACTGATAAAAAAATGCTTCAAATTGAAAAATCAGCTTGTACGTACCTTACAGTAACAAAGCAGCCAGTTTTAAAGTCTAGAAGCTCTTTTATTTTACATGTATGTATCGGGATTTTTTGTGTTCCCATTGTGAAAAAAAGCAGTTGCTGTGATAATCAACCATTTAAATCAGTTTTGAGTGATTTGGTTTTGATTTCCATTTCCAAACGAAATAGCTACATTTGAAAAAGATTGACGAGTGGACCTGTAAAGAACGCAAATAACGTGTACACTATACATTTTAACATGTATCTCCGAAATGTTCTGTAAAAAATCTGACTTCATTTAACGGCAATGCTATCATACATTATGTCATCACATTGTACAACAGGTTTGACAGGGAAGCTGTATTGATGTCACAACTTTAAATTCTAAAAAACACGCGCTTTATGAAGACAAATGATTGTTAGTATATGTCTGTTAAATATCAAACTTCACTTCTAAGAATGATATTTGATTTAAACATATTTCATTTGTATCAATATATACAAAAACATTGGGTACAAGTTTCAAACTTATATGAAGCCTTTTCCCCAAAGAAATTTTACAAATTTATATAAACAAGATGACATGGTTGCATATATACGTCTTTTGTGTGTGTGTGTGTGTGTGTGTGTGTGTGTGTGTGTGTGTGTGTGTGTGTGTGTGTGTGTGTGTGTGTGTGTGTGTGTGTGTGTGTGAGAGAGAGAGGGTGGGGATGGAGTGAAAAAGAGGGTGGGGGATGGAGAGAGAGAGGAAATGGTTTATTGTGAAGAAGTAATGGACATCTCTGTTTGTTATGACTAATACTAAACACTTACGGTTTGATTACATAACTGTGTATTATATAACATACAACTTATTACCAGTTTTGTAGTTTTATCATTTATTGATAAAAACATCACCTGTTTACATTTTACATCGTACAGTATTACTGAGAGTTTCGGTCTAGAACTATCGATTTAAAATGTTTATAAAACTGTACATCATGTATATGGACTTGCGCAAGTCTAGAAATTTAACTAAAAGTTTCAGAATATCTTTTTTCAATGCCAGTACACTAGCTTGAATTCCTTAATATAGAAATAATGATACTCACCAAAATACTAACAGCGACATCTTTAGTATTATTCCAAAAGCAGGGGGACGTCATTGTTCCACTTTGTCACAAAACATTTAGTCTTATACATATATTTAAAGTAAGCATCCTATTTTGGGATTATTTACATAGAGTTTACAGAGAAGAAATTCCAAAGCACTTTACAAACCAGAATGATATACGCGCGTGTTGCACACACGTGCATCACGCACCAACTGTGTACTGGACTAGCGCGCGGTAAATGTCTGTGAATTGTCATAAGATAAAGATGAGGAGCAGGGTAACAGTGTTAAGCTTTTTTATCATTACGGCTGCCTGAGTCATCGTCAATCGATTAACGAAAGATACCAACTCGACATACCAGTAGAAAACTGACATCGGCTATGAAACCAACATCGGAAATTAATACACAAACCTCGTCACGTAAAGCAATGCACGTGCATTATTCTCATGAGAACTTTTTCCGATCGTAACTGAACCCATTTACTGTCTGTGTCCGTGTAAAATTAACTGATGGAGGTAATTTTATGCCTCGTTATTCAATAGGTTTGAATGGATGTAACAATTTTGTTTGTGTTGCATTTCATTTGCACTGCCGGAAACATCTGTAATGCACGATAATAAAGCCACGTAAAAAACACTTAGCATCTGTTGTTAAAAAAAACCCGGAGAATTATATAACGGCATACAACTATTTCCCCAGACGATCGCCAAATGGTGCAGCTAATTTCAATGTATTTTAAGCACGTGTGACTGCATTCGGATGATATCTGCTCCCATGCATGTTCTCTAGACAAGCAGAAATTCAATATAGACATACGGTGATCAGATGGTTATATCAGAACAAACAGAACATGGTCTGTGCATCAACACACAGCTAGCTTTACAAGGAATAGGAAGTAATAAGGCAATACCACAAGCATTTTGTGACAACGAAGTTCAACTCTGATTGTGTATCATCTGGATTGATGTGCATTCAGTTTTCAGATAATTTGAGGAAACGCCAAGACAGAAACCGATGTTTGAAAATGTTTTTGTAGCATAATTTTGAATTGAGCTGACTAAACTGTTAGCAACAGATGCCCGGAAATCAGCAATGCATAAAATGTATCGACGCATTTCAAGCACCATTGCATTCTGGGCAATAAAAAGACTCATTACAGCTGTCAAGCATTGATTTACCGGATACCAACTGTTTACAAAATATAATTTTTACAGTTATATTTAAAGATGGTTTCCAAATGTGTCATCATTGAATAAAACTGTTGTGGTAACGAGATTTTTTTTGTAGTGTAAGATGCTCGCTTGTCTGTAAAGGAAGTGCGGTACAGGTATGTCATTAGTCTGCTAATTGTACTCTTGTCTGAAGTCATGCACAATGTCACGTGATTATCAGCTATAGACCCAAGTAGTCGAACCTGTCGATATAAATGTTACCCAAGGGAGTAGATAAAGGTGGTCTCTATAGTCAGGTGTCCTTTATATAGAGGTTCAATTATGATACCATTTATACCGACATAGCCTTATGAATACCATTTTTCTGGTATGGGTTATGTAGTGGGGGTCAGCCCTGATAGATAGAAAGGTACATTTGTTACATACAATATGCCATAACTAAACAAGGCAGGTTTGACAGTACGTTACTGTAAAAAGATTACACATAGGGTTGCAGAAGTAGATGGGGAGGCGTGGGGAGTGGAGGGAGACGGGAGGAGGAGGCGATGGGTGTGGATGGTGGCGGGTGGGGGGGTAGGCGATGGGTATGGATGGAGGCGGGAGGGAGAGGGAGGAGGCGATGGGTGTGGATGGGGACGAGGTGGAGGAGGTGTTGTTGGTTACGGGGTGGAGGAGGTGTTGGTAGTTACGGGGTGGAGGAGATGTTGGTGGTTACGGGGGTGCAGGAGGTGTGGATGGTTACGGGATGGAGGGCAAGGAGGCGATGAGTGTGGATGGGGACGGGGTGGAGGAGGTGTTGGTGGTTACGGGGTGGAGGAGATGTTGGTGGTTACGGGGTGGAGGAGATATTGGTGGTTACGGGGTGGAGGAGATGTTGGTGGTTACGGGGTGGAGGAGGTGAGATGTGGGATGGAGAAGGGAGGGTGAGCGGAGTGACGGCAGAGGTAGGAAATAAAGAGCTAAGGAAAAGACAGTAAGGAGATATAGAGGATAAGAGGAATGAGTAAATGAGAGCAGGTCGGGAACAAATTGGAGAGATGATCTGGTGGTGGAGATGTTCATGTCTTTCACGAAGCGGGGACAGAAAGAAAGAAGACTGGTAGAGACCGAGAAGATAATGACTGACATGTATCTAAGCTTCAGATAAACTACTATATATTCTACTGAAACAGTACAATTGTACGTAATCCACTTCCGGTCGCAGATTGACTAAGGTTACTGTGGACGTTTTATTGTCAGGATTCATCTGAACAGTCGTTGGAGTAAAACTCTAAGGTCATGAAATGTAATAAAACAGTGTTAATAGTTTCTCTGTGTGATGTGAAAAGCATTCAATTACAATAACGGTCAGCGATGTAATCATCGTCTCCGCTTATTTTAGAGTCATTCAGAACGAGAAAGCACCGACACATTCCGGCATTGTTGTACGATCAGTATAAACATCGTTAAACGCCACGATGGTCAAAGTAAACGTAGTTCAGATCCATACGGGTACTTAACATAACGTTTACATCTAAATTACACAAACAAACCAGGGCTGAAGCCTTCTTTTGTCTGGTTTGCCTACCATTTGAATGGCGTGCCCAATCAATACTGTCCAAGCTATAGTAAGAGTAATGATGTTGAAGTTATCATAATGTGATTGCTGTGTATATGGAACACAAAGTCATATTTTTTCTATTTTGAATAAAGATTTCTCATATTCTGTTTTGTATAAAATATTTAGTGATATCTGTTTCCGTGGGGAGTCGTATCCGATTTCTCGACTTCGAACCGCCACTCTGCCGATCGCGCGAGGGGTTAATTAGCTTCGGATGTGTTAAGAGGTGAAAAAACAACGTCAAAAAAATATCCCTCAGTCAAGATTGACATCATAATTACCAGCGAGACGTCACAATTGTCAAAGTCTAGCGATCAATATAGATAATTGTATATATCTACCACAGGGCTGCTATCTAAAGTTGTAATTATAAATTTGTATATCCCACTGAACATTAATTACTGGTACCTGTGTGGATTTAGTCACGTGTTATGAAGTTGGATCACAGACCTAGTAATACATATATATGTTCAAGTTCGTTCTGTAGTACGATATATATATATATATAAGATAGTGAATTAATAAGTAGAATATTATAGAGAATTATACATAATTTATACGGGTGTTAGATTGTGAACGGATTTCCATAATATTTACACAAACTCATATCTTTTGAATTTGACTCCTGTTTTATATTGTTTCTCATATTTCAGGAACTGACATGCGGCACTTACAAAATGAGTTTTATAGCGACCCCTACAAATATACAACCAACTATTTTGAGTGGAAATAAATCATGATTGATATACACATTAGAACAAAAACTTTATTCTAGATGTCCAGAACCCGTGTACAGGGCTGGATAAGCTACAGTAAAACATATCAACGACATAGGTATATTATACTTACATGTATACTTCATAAAATTTTACACGTGGAGTGAAATGTATATATTAAATGTAAAATATTGCAAAATTGGAAAAGAAAGTTGTATGACCAAGGGACTTACCGGAGTTTGTTCCAGAAACCAGCGTCTAAAAAGCAGTATGGGCGGTCCTAGGTCTTTTCGAGCAGGAAATTGTCACTGTTTCATAAATACAGATAGCCGTTTATCCACCTGGCGTCTCGCACCTTTAAGTGTACTTAGAGGGAAATGTAGATATAACCATCTACTTCTCTCTAATGGCCAATAAGAGGGTCCCTCATCCCTTTAGCCTCGGCAAGCATTACTTGTTGACTCAAAGTTTAAATGTGTTGATGCGCTCTCTCTGTCGTCTGTAAACGGTATTTACACACATAGCCACCCAATAAACACTCGAGAGATTAAGTTGTGTGTTCAAAATGTTTGTCTTTTTACTGCGAGATCTCGAGCGCCGACTCTAACAAAGCACGTATTTAAAGCAAGGGGAAAAAACACGACAGGTAAACGCAATAAAAAAAAATCGTCCGTACTAATACAGGTGAACAGCACAGGTGAAATAATCAATAAATTAGGTCACGTTCGATTTCAATCTGTCTAATTTTCAAGGTGTGTTGATGGAATCGGTTCTGACACAGGTATGCTAATATATACAGGTATACGTCCCGTATGCAACCCTACCACACACGTATTGTTATATATGTTATTGCGGATTAATTTGTGTGACGACTTTCAGACACCTTTGTGATAACCATCTGTAGACTTACAGATACACGTGCCCACTAGGCGTTATAAACACTATGTATGACACTGACTGCTTTTGTCTAACTATTATTTACAAGTTATCAGCGACAACGCTTCACAGAACATGCACAAGTACAGGTTTGAGGATAAAATCGAAAGATGGTTTGTGAACTATGGTCGAAAATAAATTTTTATGACTACTTTCGTCTGTGTTGTAATAAATCAAGATTTATTACCGGTTCTTCAAAGACTTGTCCAGCGAGATCAGAAAAAAGACAATATTTTAGATCTTGCATCAATAAATTTAAATTTGATAATTGACTGTTGTAGCATTTATCTGAAGGCCGTTCTAGTGTATCTGGAGGCAATGACGGGTGAATTATGATGGAGAAATGGAGTGTGAACTCTCTTGACAGGTCTTACCTGAAAGGTTGTAAATCCAAATACCCACCAAATCATATTGTAACTAACAACTTAATTAACCAGAATTCATTTTGACAAGAACTGACATTTAGTAGGATTTTTGTCCAACAGTTGCCAATCAAAATATATTTAACGCTGATTCGAACAATTTTCATAGTACAACATTTACCTGTATTAACAATTTTCATTTTAATCAGAATTTAAAAGATCCAACGGTCGTGCTCTTTTCAAAACCAATAAATTTAGTATCTAAAAAATACCCAAATTTAATATCCATTTAAACTTTTTACAAAAGAAAGTTGTGCAGAATGTTAGAGAGAATGTATATGCACAGGGTTATGATAAACGTCGATATGAATAGACCGTTTGACGTCTAATTAAGTCTAAGGTATTTATTGTATCATGTCAACAAATAGTAACCCCACAGGGTCGACGTTTTACGTCCGTCTTAATTAATTATGTGTGAAGTTAGTAAGACGCGAGATGTTCAGATAAAACGACAGAACAGGAAGCAAGTCTCGCTCTTGAATAACACGCCGAAAAAAAAATGTGTGTGTCATTTCAGACAGTTTGAAAAGGAAAGTCAAATAAAAGTGATTTTTTACAAGTTCTGTCGACAATAGTAACAAAGATGTCACTCCGCTTAGAGTTTCAGATTCTTTAATTGGAGGAAAAATGTTGACGCCCACTGCCCCACCCTGCAATTAAGTAAAGAAAATATGAAGTTATGTTGTAGATGTACAAGTGTATATATTTTGTGTACATGTATATTGTACACTACCACCTTCAGTAGATGTACTAGTGTATATATTTTGTGTACATGTATGTTGTACAATACCACCTTCAGTAGATGTACTAGTGTATATATTTTGTGTACATGTATGTTGTAAAATACCACCTTCAGTAGATGTACTAGTGTATATATTTTTGTGTACATGTATGTTGTACACTGGTACACCTTCAGTAGATGTACTAGTGTATATATTTTTGTGTACATGTATGTTGTACACTGGTACACCTTCAGTAGATGTACTAGTGTATATATTTTTGTGTACATGTATGTTGTACACCGGTACACCTTCAGTAGATGTACTAGTGTATATATTTTGTGTACACGTATATTGTACACTGGTACACCTTTAGTAGATGTACTAGTGTATATATTTTTGTGTACATGTATGTTGTACACTACCACCTTCAGTAGATGTACTAGTGTATATATTTTTGTGTACATGTATGTTGTACACTACCACCTTCAGTAGATGTACTAGTGTATATATTTTTGTGTACATGTATGTTGTACACTGGTACACCTTCAGTAGATGTACCAGTGTATATATTTTGTGTACATGTATGTTGTACACTACCACCTTCAGTAGATGTACTAGTGTATATATTTTTGTGTACATGTATGTTGTACACCGGTACACCTTCAGTAGATGTACTAGTGTATATATTTTTTGTGTACATGTATGTTGTACACTACCACCTTCAGTAGATGTACTAGTGTATATATCTTTGTGTACATGTATGTTGTACACCGGTACACCTTCAGTAGATGTACTAGTGTATATATTTTTGTGTACATGTATGTTGTACACTACCACCTTCAGTAGATGTACTAGTGTATATATTTTTGTGTACATGTATGTTGTACACTACCACCTTCAGTAGATGTACTAGTGTATATATTTTTGTGTACATGTATGTTGTACACTGGTACACCTTCAGTAGATGTACTAGTGTATATATTTTTGTGTACATGTATGTTGTACACCGGTTCACCTTCAGTAGATGTACTAGTGTATATATTTTGTGTACATGTATGTTGTTCCATGGTACACCTTCAGTAGATGTACTAGTGTATATATTTTTGTGTACATGTATGTTGTACACTACCACCTTCAGTAGATGTACTAGTGTATATATTTTTGTGTACATGTATGTTGTACACTGGTACACCTTCAGTAGATGTACTAGTGTATATATTTTTGTGTACATGTATGTTGTACACCGGTACACCTTCAGTAGATGTACTAGTGTATATATTTTTGTGTACATGTATGTTGTACACTGGTACACCTTCAGTAGATGTACTAGTGTATATATTTTTTATGTACATGTATGTTGTACACTGGTACACCTTCAGTAGATGTACTAGTGTATATATTTTTGTGTACATGTATGTTGTACACTACCACCTTCAGTAGATGTACTAGTGTATATATTTTGTGTACATGTATGTTGTACACTGGTACACCTTCAGTAGATGTACTAGTGTATATATTTTTGTGTAC